TCGAACGGCATTGATCACTTGCACCATGTATTTTTAATATAATCTCAACTGCAATCCAGGTCATTTGGTTCTGCTATTAGATGAAGCACAGTGATAACAATTAATCTATGTATTGTAGAAATAAACAAAATATCGGACATTGTATTCCCATTTGAATTTTGCTGTGGTTTTAATGGTTGAAAGCGCAGTGATTCTTTTTTTCTCTCTGTCCCGTGGCAATGTGTGTTGAAATGCAGGAAGTTAGCCGGTGTCCCAGGGCCTCAAATGCAGTAGTCCGGCCCTGATAAATACCTATTTGTTAACCAGAAGAGCAACTTGGCTGACAAACATCATTTTTTTTGTCACTCGGGTCTAGACCCGGACCCGTTAGGTCCCGTCAGGTCTAGGTCTGGTTGTTGTCAGGTCTATTCGGGTTCGGGGCTGATTGTTCTCGGGTCCGTTCGGGTACAGGTCCCCCTTTAAAAATAAATATTGGGTCTGTTCGGGTCCGGGTCTAACCTTTTGGACCCGAGAAGACCTCTGCTACTGGCTAGCCAAGTCCCTGATATAAAACACTGTTGAGAAGTAAATGGGGAGAGGTTTTTATGGTTTTTTTTATGTTCTTCAGCTATTGACGACCTGGTTAGTGTCAACACTGTGGTGTCAACATGTCTTTAAGACGGAACTGGACACTCTCCTGTCTTGTCCGAGCAAGGATCAGGACTTTGACATCTGCTACAGAGCTTTGTTTGGGTCAATGTAGCGGGTCCCAGACGTGAATGATGGAAGAGATCCAGCCAGAGTAAAAATGGCTTAAAGAAAGTAACATCTGCATCTGCCTTGTCTCATGTTTTTTTTTCTTACTCTTTCTTTCTTCTATTATACCTCTCTTGCCATTCGGTTTGGAGCATTTTTTCCATCCCAGACAGCTGGGCTGAGTTAAAGACTGCTTGACGACGGGCCGACAGACAGAGAGACACAGATGGTTCAATTCTCATGTCACCCGTCTGCGTGGCAGAGAGGGGCAACAGGAGGAGAATTCACGCCCACCGCCCCCACTTCTCCGCCCCTGTAATGCCATGCATATTTTCACATTGTTAATATGGTCATTGTGTCACGCACCAGATTTTGTGCCCCTAATTTGATTTATTCAAAACATACTTCTTGGAAACCGTGTGAAGGCATGGGAGTGAGGTTTGCTGAATCCTGTTTTTTGGAGACCAATAAAAGAAATGGGCTCCCTTGCCTTCCCTTGAATGCCTTTCGGGGAAGAGGGTGAGCTGCGTCGTGTTAGCAGGGACTCAGGGAGGCTCAAGTTTTCCGATTGTTTTGCAAATGTTTTAGGGTTTGTTGTCATACCTAATTTTGGGGCAAAAGGGGAGGCTGCATTCCTGTGGTGGAAGAGACGGTCATCGGGCCAGTCAAGGCCCCCTCTCCTGCTGGGGAGTAGACTACTGTGTGTGTCGAACAGAGCAGCACAGCAGACTGAGAAGGTGGAAGTCCATAGAGAGACAGACAACCCCGCTGACAGGGGTAGACAGCTGGGAAATGTTGTAATAGCGTTGCAGATGGGGGTTTGAGGTGTGTATGTGTGTCCTGACATACCCTTCTTTCATCTGAGCACCCTGTTGCTGAAGAATCTCACTCAGAGCACAGAGTTCATTTTCTATTCAACTTCACTAAGATGTTGTCAGGTAGCTGGTTGTGCACAGGGAAAATAAGTATATTATGTTCTGTTATAGTATATTTATGTCTATAAAGGAAATAACTCCATTGTTTTAACGCACATCATTAGTAAACTAAAGGGAAAAGTGTTTTTAATAGTGCCTTTATAAGTTTGAATGTGCTTTCCAAATGTATCAAGATGTCCAAATAGAATGTGTACCTTTTGGACTTTTATGAGGGAGATGAAATAAAAGCTTATCTTGGGTTATCTTGAATTCAACTGGCATTCCGATTCAGTGGAAGGTGTGGAGCAGAGCTCTATAATTGAAGACACATTTGAGAGATGTCTCAACGGTTGCCAAAGAGCTCCACAGACAGCAACACTGGTGCAAGAGAGACCTCTACTGGCATGACCATTCTTTCCTAGTAGCCAGATGGAGTTTATGCCACATACATGCCATTCAAATGAACCCCTTTTGAGGCTTACGACCTGGCTGACCATTTTCTCACCATCACAGCTATTCTCTCAGCTCTCTTCTACAAGTAGTAAGACATTAGTGAATGCTTATACCCTATGGCAGACAGAGGCTTAAGTAAGTAAGTATACCAACAACTGCAGGCTTGTTTGCTACTGCACACGTTATGTCAACATTACATTTGGCATGTGTAACAACGCAGTGTTCAAAAAGGTTATGCAATGCTTATGAATGTTCTGTGTCATCCCAGTGAAGCATTGATACCCAGTATCCTCCTGCTTTCATCAATGCTCCACAGGTTGGTGGACTATCATCTTGATTTAAGGGGCCCTGAGAAGAGGCCTTACTACCACCATGATAGATTTCCCCAAAGAGTGGACGGGGTGGTAGGAGCGGTAGCTCAACTTGTTTTAATGGACAAGCGGAGAGAGGAAGGAAGAAAAGGGAAAGGAGAGGAGCGATAAGACATCCCTCCCTTGACATAAACGTCAGCTTTTTTCCCAGGATACTTAGCAGGCTTTCCCCTCAGTCCTCCTTTTATGGTTGAGAAACAATCCCAGTTGGGTATCAGGAGTGGGAGGCTTGGGAAGATGAAAGACCGCTGAGCAGAAATGATGCTTCAGAACCTGCCTCGCACTAAGGTATTTAGGCTCTTTGAGAAAATAGATCACAGATGGCTCCTAAAGTTGCAGGGGGAAATGTCTCAAGCCTGGTGCACCTTGTATCCTCTATGGGTGCCAGCCAGATGGAATGATACCTTGCTGTTTCACATTCAAACACAAGTTGAAATTATAGCACGTAACTGTAGTAGACAGGGTTCCAAAAGTGGCTCATAGAGGTATATGTTACTCAATGCCTGGAATGGCATTTGAAGGGATGGGTACAACTCAATAATGAATCCAAAAGGATTATAACAAGCTAAAATTAGAGGACTAGAAATCCAGAAGTAAGGGAATGTATCATACATTCCTGAGGGTCATATACATTCCTGAGGGTCATATAGATTCCTGCTAAATTGCAGACTATGGAAACCTACTATTATATTATGGTTTTAACCTCTGAGACTTTTTGTTAGGGATCTCAAAGTTTGAAAATAACACCTCATTCTCTTGTGATTTACTGACCATATGTGAGATTGGCAATTTATAACAATGAGACATGTTATCCGTAATATCACTCACTACCTCTTGCCAGGGTAAATACCCAATTGTGCTAAAACTAGGCCTATGGTACTCTGCGTGAAACGTAGAAAGCACATCTGTCTTCCAGACACACTAGAAGAGTTGGAGGTGTGCTAACATTTGTCTTATACAGCAGTAAAGGGAGACTTTCCTCCCCACCAGCTGATGGTTGTAATAACCAGCTCCGTCACTTCACCTTTGCACCCTGTGGCCTGGCTGCCTGACCCGTAGCAGGGCGTCTGGACCCCCTGGTCACCCCGTCGGCTGTAAAATAAGCTGCTGTCGCTCGCCAACAAGGGGTCAACGGTGTGTCAACAATCCTCCATCGAGTCACGAGTCCCCCCCCCAACCCCAACCCATTCTCCCTCCCGAAGCTCTGAAGGAGCCCCTGTCCTCTTTATTTGGAGAGCGCTCATTGAAGCTGGACAAAGGGAGCTGCTGAGGGTGAGGGGCTGTAGGGCCGACTTCTACTAGTACACTCAACATCAACACTAGAACTATCCTCACATGACTGGGCCACACTCTTGTTTTTCCAGAGAGACTGTTGTCACTTCGTGCGATGTCATTGTGAGTTTAAGACTTAGAATAACATCTTGTTTTGGTAGTGTTGTGTCGCAGAAACGTTCATGTTCATTGAAGCGTATCGAGCGTGGGTGTCACAGTCTGTCCGAGCAGCCCCTCTCCAAACCCCGACACCTAACCCCTTGTGTGTGTTTACTCACGTCAGCGTTAAACATTTACATATCCCTCTAAACACAGTGTCAAAAAACCACATAATTCCACTCTGTTTTGCATTAACAAGCAAACGACAAGTTCCTCTTTTCATCCGAGAGCAACAGACAAATTCCCCAAACATCCATAGTAATCAATCTGGTCTAACCAAACATGAGAACATGGCTGGACTTTCAGTAAACAACCTTCACCTCGGGTAGGGTGAAACCTCATCTGTAAGATTGGGTGGTATCAAACAGGACTCAACGTTTTGGCAATGTTTTCTCTTTAGTAAGCAAGAAACCTCTGAGAAGCCGTATGTCTGTGGCTTGTTAGACCCAGAGTTCAGGAATGAGTTGACAAGTGAAGTGTTTTCTGAGGAGGCACGTAGAGGCATTCCTTACATGAACCCTGTGTCCCCATAAATTGTCCTTTTTACAACAATCGAACAACTCCCAGTGTCACACTTCTATTTTTAACCCCTAGGTGAGGGACTTCATATTTAGACAAGCAGGTCAGTAGACAAACATAAATTTCACACACAGCAAAAGTCTCCGTTTTTTAATGGCTATATCCTGGTGTTGAACGTATATTATGAATTTTCCCTGGCTGCGACCAAGGTTAAACATAAACATGCTATTCTTGTAATACCTGTAATGGTACCATTAATAAACCCTATAAGGAGTACTCTGAGGTTGGATTATGCATGGTCGGGTTATTAACTATTTATTATGTGCAAATTCGACTAGTTTCCAGATGCCACACATAGTTCATCCTTGGCTACACCTTCGCCTTCCAGAACACCTTTAGGTAATCTGACTTTATACACAGCAGCCGTTGAATCCTGCTGTGGTTGATATAGAAATTAACCAGACAATGTCTTTCAACAAACATCTGGTTAATTGTGAATGAGGGGAGTTAATGTGAGGATGTGTTGTGGTTCTCTACTCATCAGCTAGAGAGTTATCATCAGGATTGGCAGAGTGACAACAAGACATTCTGTGTTTTTATACGTTTTTACTTGTTGATTTACTATGTTCCACCAGTGTGTCTGAAAATAGACAATGACAGGAAAGTGTGTCCAAACAAGAAAACACTGTGCAGGGCCATAACAAAGGATAGACAATAGACTGTGGCAAAGTTGCAAATCACTCTCCAGTACAGTCATGGTCATGCAGTGGTTTCAAGACAGGTAAAAAAACAAAGACAAAAACAATAGAACGTTAGGAGTGCCTCCACTGGGTTGAAGAAAAATAGATAGATTTCATGGTCTTCTGACCTCAGGGAGGGTTTTGGTATCCGCCAACAGCGTGCCTCCCCTTAGAACGCAAAATAAACTATAGGTGAGTCCGGCCAAAAGGCAATGAACATAAACCACACACACACACAAGGCCTACACAATTTACAGTGAGAACATTCTGGAAAATTCAACATCTGCTCCCTCCCCGAACCTTCATGTAAGTAACGGTATGATATTTTTATCTCCCTCAAATGTAAGAGTCATAACATGAGTCTGTTCTCTGGTGTGTGAATCAACTATAAAATTCATAAAACAGTAATGCATTTAAGCATGGTCGCTTGTCTCACGTCCTATATGTCTCCTCCGGCAGTCCCTATTGCTTCGGCTAACTTCCTCTTCTCTCAGGCTCACTAGAGACTGCTGCCTGCATCATCTGCACTCAATCAGAATAATGATCTCAAAATGTGCACTCCAGAGCTAGTCAAAAGGGAACAAAGCACAGAGACCACTGGCAAACACCTCCTCCAGTCATTAGTCATCTCGTTCCCTTGGTTTGGAAGAGCACCCCATTGCCTGGAACACATCCATGCATAGCACAGACTGACTGAGAAAACCAGACAGAAATCCATGCCCAAGAAATTAAGGTTCATACGATTCCCCAGATCCTAGGCAGTTATATTACTCATGCCATGTCCATTTAGATCAGTGATGCACAACTCCCGTCTGTAGTTAGGGGAGATTAGTTGTACCTTCTCATTCTAAATCCAGCAAGTGGACTAGCAATCAAACTCACTGATTGGCAACACGCAGCAAGACGCAGCCCCTGAAGACCATGGCCCATGGTTCGAAGACCATGGCCCATGGTTCGGACAAAGGTAGTGTAGGCTATGCTTACTTGGTGGGGTGTGAACTGGCTGAAGAGGTCCTCATACAGCTTCCTCCATTTGTCCACCTGGGTTTGCAGGTCAGCCATCTCATCTGATTCCCATGAGGGAATTCTGCAGAATCGGAAAGGGAAGGGAATAAGTTCTCATGGACATGTGGGATTGAGAAAAGGCTGTGTTACCAAATACATCAGCTATGTCTGAGATAACTGTTATGGGGCCTGTTTTGCTGTGTCACACAAAACTGACTGTTAATGGTATGACTGAGGAAGAAAAACTGATCTGGTCATTGAGGACAAATTGCTGATACCTGTCACAGTGCTGGCTGACTGTGTCCTCTAGGGGGAGACACAGCATCTGGGAGGGGCTCTCTGAGCCCTGTGAGCTCTTCCTCAGCTCTGCTACCTCCTTCTCCAACCGTTTCACCTGCTGCCGCAGAGCGTCCTTCTCCTCTGACAGGCATTCTTTGAATCTGGAGGTTTCATTCAGAGAATAAATCTGGGGTTATCCACTGTCTGCTACATAACCAATGGCAACAGAGTGATGGTAGAGCATAGCTACCTCTTGACACAGCACATCCAGTAGCGCTGCTGTTCACACAGCCACTCAAACTGCTCGGCCGTCTCCTGGAGCTTCTTCAGGCTGCCCTCGTTCTCCCGCTGCAGTCCCTGCACCTTCCTCTGGTTGGCGCTGCACAGCTCATCCAGCTCCTGGGTGCTGGCGGCATAGCTGCACTGAAGCTCTTCCAGCTCCAATACCTTACTGTCAGCCGAAAACACATAAGAGACCCTGAACTTAGGTGCTTGGAAATGTTTCTAATTTGTGGTCTTAAAAAAATGTTGTGGTCTTAAAAAATACATTATGCATCATCCCTCCTGAATGTTGCATGAACAGCCAATATATCTAACCAACATGTAACCCCCTGGTGATGTCATTTTCGTGTACTATCAATCATGAAAACGTACTTAGAAAGTCTCTCTATGATTCCCCAGTTTATCTTTCACAGGCAAATGATGAATTTCAGCTTGAGGGTTTGAGCTGAGCTCATGTGAAACTCCCCTTTCTCTATCATACCCCTAGCGCAATTCTACCCCTGGAATCATGATGTGATAACGTATTCTGACTGTCAGCCAATTTTCCAAACTGGGGATTCAAAGTCAGCAAATTATAGCACAGCATGCTTAAGGGCGCGTGTGTTTTTGCTGACTTAAAATCACAAATCCAAACTGTTTTTATTTGACGTGTGACAACCTGACTAGTTGGAGATCTGTTCGACGTGTTTTTAAAACAGTTGGGACAGTTTCACTTGGCTTGTGTTTGTAGGAGATGGTAATCAAAAGTTAGGAGTTTCATTAATTTTTATGTTTATTTACTTAGTGCACGCCCTTATCTGGACTGGCTTTACTTTTACAGTATGTCAATTTGTACAGCTGGATAAACCACATAGCTAAATACTGCAGCCATTTAAAAAAAAAAGTATGTCTTAGGTTTTAAACACACACACAACAGTGCCATTTACTTGCTCTTTCCCACAGTGCAGGGCAGTAGGCCTACCTGTGCAGCTGCGCCTGAAGGCCCTCCGTCAATGCAGCACTCTGCAGGTCCTCAGTGTGCAGCTCCTCCACCAGGCCTTCCAGCTGCACCTCAGAACTCTGCAGATGCAGTAGCTCCGAGTTGACCTGTTCCAGCTGTAGGCCCAGCAGCGCAGCGTCTCTGGAGCTCTCCTCCACCACAAGATGCACCCGTTGCTGCAAGAACACAACCAGATCCTTGATGAGGGCCACATAGTCCACACAGACAGAAACACAAAGGTGTACACAAGAACACAACAGATACTGTCTGTATTCAACACATGCTATTGTAAGACTTCTCTCAGAAATGGGAGGAATATTCATGACATTCCCTCTATTATACTGTTAGTATTCATGTCATCCACTTGACAAACTCTGGAGATGTTACGAGAGGAGTCTTTTACAAAAACACCTATAGATAAATGTGGCTAGCAAGCCCATACTTGAGAATAGTTTAACATAATTAGGTTTTGACAGGAATGTGTCAAGGCAATTTTGTTTAGCTTCACTAGCAATGGAATGTATTGAGTTTTTTTGCATTGAGATTCTACATGCTGCCAATTGAAGGTAGACCATTAGAAAGATACAGAAAATTGTATGACTTCTAATCCATGCAATTACACAATATTACATTAGCACGTACACTGTAATTATACTGTAGGTACACAGCTTCAGAGAATGAGAAGAGCCTTCTGTGGTTAACCAGTGAAAAAATGGAAACAAGACATCAGTACCTGTTCATGATGGACCCTGCCGAGCAGTTGGTCGTGTTTGAACATCAAATCTATGTTGACCTTCTCCATTTGGCAGAGCTGTGTGGACAGAGCCTCCAGCTCATTCTGCAGGCTCCTCTCTCTCGCCCTGGCCCCCAGGCATTCCCTCTCCAGCACTGCTGTACCAAAATAAGACAACAGCCCTGTGACTGGAATGGTTATATTGTCCCCACATCAGAGGACAACTTTCCCTTACCTATTCAAATGATTCTCTCAGTCACTGTCCAGTAGGTTTGGACTTTGAACCCTGTAAAATCCTTGGTGTCCATTATATGGCTTAACTAGAAACAGTGAAATCATGACATCATGCACCCTGAGAATAGCTAACTCTGTTAGCGTATTGCTGTTCTTCTTGTAGAACTACACTTTATCTATTTTGCAATTGATTATGATGGTGACAAGCTTTAGTGTACAGTACATTACAATACATTGCTCAATGACAGGCAGATTCTTCTTTGAGTGAATAGCCAACAGACTAATAATCCAAAGCAGTTGATCTGTAAATCCTACAGTCCCATAGTGATCCAATAACTACCAATACCTACCTTTTTCATGTGTCAGGCGGTTACACTTAGCTGTCAGGTACTGGATCTGACTGCCATCTTCATCGCTGTAGCGCTGCGCTCTGAAAAATCTCCTCATTTCCATCTCCCTTGTTCCCTTACTGTGGTTCACCTGTATCATTCAGCTTCCATGACTGTCAGAGCAAAAGGGCACGCCATTGATTTACTAGCTTCTTCTAACTGCGTGACGCCCTCAAGACAGAGAGAAACTCCTCCCGTTTTAATATATCAGTGTTAGCAATAACACCAATATAGGCCTATTTCTGTCACTTTAACATTGAGACTGAATTGGAAAAATACCAAGAAGTGGGTGTCACTGGACATCCTAAGGATTTAATTGACGATTTAACCTTTCAGGGCCTAGTTTGTACAGGATCCAAAGTTATATGCAAATCTACCTAAATGGTGCCCCTCAGGCTGTGAATGTTATGAAATCTAACATGGTAATTGATGGACAAGTTGTAGCTAGCAGGCACCTTTAGGTGCGTATCTAAACTACACCCTGGAGCCATATACAAGTACCTAACTAACCTTCTGGTAAAGAACCTTAAAACAGGTACCTTATTCTGAACTTCACATTCATATTTTGGATCTTATTTCGGGGGAGTAAAATCCATATGTTCCTAAATCAGAGTTTCCTAGAGAGGAGGTCTTGTCTGCCTGGCTATTTTGTCAGCTTTGCATTCGTACAATGACTGTAATTGCTATTTCATTATCTAATGACCTGTTTTATCCTCATCTGAATCAAGGGGGGTAGGCTATGTGGTTTTATCCATCTGAACAACCATTGATCCATTCACACTGTATAGTGTAGGTATCCAGTATACAGTTCTGATGCTAATATGAGCGCAACAATGGGGACATCACTGCACTGAGTCTGGGGCTTTTTATAAAGAAGTCTCAGCTTATGCGCGCCTTGTTTCATATGTCAGTTCCTTGCCAGGTGGTGGAGACAAAACACAGCTATTCCTCCTGTTAGTGCTTGACTATCTGCTTCCACGTGTGAAGGTTAATGAACATGTCACTCACTACCTTATAGCACACACACCACAGTGCAGAATGTGTCAAAGCAACTGGATAGAATCAATGGTTTGATCCTCTTGTGAGATCTGAAGGTTTCATAGTCAAGTAAGAACCCATAAATAAATTAGGCTCTTCAAAAGTCTCATACTAAATACAACTAGGAAGTGTTGATATTGTAGTAATTATGAATAATTCATTCAATGAGAGGATGTCCTCCCGAGTGGCGCAGTGGTCTAAGGCACTGAATCGCAGTGCTAGCTGTGCCACTAGAGATCCTGGTTCGAATCCAGGCTCTGTCGTAGCTGGCCGTGACCGGGAGACCCATGGGGTGGCGCACAATTGGCCCAGCGTCGTCCAGGGTAGGGGAGGGAATGGCCGGCAGGGATGTAGATTAGTTGGTAGAGCATGGTGTTTGCAACGCCAGGGTTGTGGGTTCGCTTCCCAAGGGGGGGCAGTATGAAAAAATATAAATAAATAATGTATGCACTAACTGTAAGTCGCTCTGGATAAGAGCGTCTGCTAAATGTAAAAAATACAAAATACAATGTTCAAAAATTGCATTTATTTAGAAAAGAAAACCACCATGCTGACCTCTGCCTCGGAACACAACAGTTGTAGATAGAAAATGGCAATTGGACATCTACACAAAGCATCCTCTAATACTAATAAATAAAATAACCTTCCAGGTCTGTGAAACAACATATCTTTCACAAAAGAGATCAGTGACGAACCCATCCCATGACTAGAATGACCTGATTCTGCAGTTAATTTGTTTGATAGAATTATATTGGAATTCTTTGGACATTTCTCCAACTTTCACTAAGCAATGCTTATAATACTTAAATTGTGTTTCAAACACTATGACTAGCCTACCCTGGATGTCCTAAAACTGTAGATATACCATCAGTGCATTGCTGTAGGCGTACATTTATATTTTATCATTTGTTTTGATGTATGGAAAGTTTCAACTTTACTTACATAAAAGGACAACAAAAACACCAAAAGCAATTTGTTGTAACATTACCTTTGTTAATCAAGGTAACAATGATTATTTAAAAAGTTCAGCTAAACTCAAAAAGGTGCAAAAGGGTTTTCATTATGATACAATTAATACAATCACTATCTTCATGGAGGTTGTGGTCTCTGGAAGACTGGAAATAAGAAGTTGACAAACTTACTCACGATCTGAGTGAGACAAAAAGAGATACCAGATTCATCAGTGCTTCCGATTATTTCTGGAATATTTTGAGATGGGTTTCACTTTTTTTGTCTCTTCCAGAGACCCCCTTTCAAAGATAACTGCGCCATCCGCAAAACAAAAACAAAGAGATCTTAAACACGCAACCTTTCCACCCAGCTGAACAGGCCAGTGCACACGGGGTGACAGATGCTTAATACCTTGCTTAGCTACAACTAGTTCAGTTAAATGTAACAGCAAACTCCAAAGCTGCAGGACACTGTCCTCTGAGACCTAGAACTAATTACAAACTACACTGAGCAAATGTATGGTATCAGCACACCCACAAGGACCACATTAAAAGTAGTTTAAGCCTATACGGCGACTTCATTTCTTTCAGGGAGAGGATGTGAGTACATCTTAGTGCGGCTGTACTAAATATAGACCAAAAAATGATATGCCTTGGTAAAAACTGGGGTTCATCCACATTTATCTGTGAAACATAATTACAGTGCAGCCTTTGGTTGGTTTCCTGGTATAGAAACCAATTGGTCTCTTGGATACCTGGTAAATCTAGGACTAGTGGTATTAGTGACCCAGGTTATAAGTAGCCTAGATCTTAAGTTGGCCACATTTCACACCGGCTAGCCTTAATCCTGGGCTGTCTGACCAAGGTTTTTGATGACTCTATTCTAAAGAGAGAAGATGACACAAGGTTACAATGACTTCTAGACTATTTTCAAAAGGGGCAGAATATGCTACGCTAAACCACCAAACACAAGAGGCCTGTATCAAATGAACGTCTGTGAATAGCTGAGCCATTAGAATTTGATCACTACAATGGGGGACAGTGCATTGGATAATGCATTATATCAATATATGCTGTATCTACCTTCATATTGAATGGCTTCAAGCTGAGAGACAAATGTGCTCTTCAAAAACAACATTTACTCCATGCAAAATATCCAGTTCTTTAGCTTCATATCAGCACTTGGAGGGGGAGACTATCCTCTCGAAACTGACCAGCACGCTATTGCACACCCTCACTCCCAAAGTTACATATCTTTTGTCAGTAAGATATCTTTGTCACAGGAAAAAGCTTCCAACCTTCAGACAATTTTTAAAAATCCCAAACCGATAGCAACAGATAGCCAAAGACCCCTCCCATAGGTCAATCTGAGTCCAGGTGGACATTCAGTTGGACATTTTTGCATTTGCACAGATAAGATGTGCATTTATGATCTCAACATTATCACGACACTCAAAAAATAAGCCTGTACAGTACATGAAGGGAGAAGACTCACAAACATGGAGCAAAAAATAAAAGTCAAAATGAAAGTCAGCACATCCACCTGAAGTCAGTCTGACATTCCGCATGACAGTTAAAACAGATTATTGCACTGGTTTTGTGTGTCTATGGACGGGCAGTCATATAAATAACAACAAACAATAATTGTAATCATAACAATAATAATAACAATGCTAGTAATAAACAATTCTGACTTAGCCCCCCCCCACCCACCAATTTTACCACTGCTGCCAACTAAAGTCGTCGTTTGTTCCGAAGACCAAAAAGAATCCCAGAATGGTTGTGAAGATGACTACATTGCCTGTTAACACAAGCGCACATGCTCCCCAGGCAATCTGTAAACAACAAACAGAAATAATTCAGTCAGCACATGTTACAAAATTCTGTCCAAACCACAGATGCTCAATCTGTGGTTTGGACTGAGCAAAACAAAGCCCTTTTCTAAGTGTTGTTTAGTAACGGAGTTGAGCATTTCTTGTTATTACACAAATGGTAGCCTATAAGATATACCCCGGCAGGTAGCTTAGTGGTTAAGAGCGTTGTGCCAGTAACCGAAAGGTCACTGGTTCTAATCCCTGAGCCGACTAGGTGAAAAATCCGTTGATGTGCCCTTGAGCAAGGCACTTAACCCTAATTGCTCCTGTAAGTCTGCTAAATGACAACAATAAAAAACATCCTATAAGGAATGGTCCTTATTCCATTTGTGTAACAACAAAATGTATGCAATTAGAAAGCGATTGCATGTAACAACAAACTAATGCAATGTTGTTACTGCACAGGTGAGAGCAAAGTGTGGCCAAACACCACTTAGCCTACCCGTGTAAAATCTCCAAGATGTATACTTACAACGTCAGCTCTGGCAAAAATGATGGGCAGGCCAAAGGCTGAAACCACTATGCCCGTTGTGAGAAATAAAGCCAGCTCCTTGCAGGCGTTGCTGGCCGAGTCTGTGTCTTCAACAATTCTCCGGGAGATGCAGTAAGGGATTGGGGCAAGGATGTAGAAGAAGAGGAGGAACAAGGGCCAGTATTTACTGTGAAGAGAGAAGTTCCCATCAGTTATGACTGGAAAAAGAATTGATTTGTGCAGCATCATATTATAAAGGCCTGTATCATGACAGTCAGGTTAAATACTTAAAGCTAGCAAAAAAGGCATTTCACTGTACTTGTGCATGTGACATTCAAACATGAAACTTGAATATGATGGAGATACATACTCATACACTGGAAGAGCACATCCTAGCATCAGGAACATGAGGCCAATAGCCCCACCAAAGGACAGGCTGATCAGAGCTAGAAAGGAGAGGGAAATAAACTAAGCAACTGTGTGTGTAATTCCTTAGGTCATAATTGATCATCTGACCATGGCCCTAATGATATAGCTCCAAGGAGGAAATAATCATGTGATAAATCAGATGATCTCACATTCAGGGGCTGGGCTCATGTATTGGGTGAGGGGATGCAGAGTATTTTCAGCTATCATAGTTGGTTATTAGAAAGTAGCTAGCTGCTATTATTAAAGCGTATTCATTTAACGAACTAGTTATTAGTTAGAACATTGAGTTTTAAACTTCTGCATGTCATGATGACTTAGCTAGCTAGTAGCTATAGCTAGCTAGCTAGATGGTGAACTAGATAAAGGAGAATTGAGGCAATGCACTTGTTAACGAGGTCTAACGTAGGCTAATTTTGCTTGTCATAATTGCCTAGCCATAACAATGCAACATAAGGTTTGGCAGGACAAGGATAGTTTCTAGCGTGTATTTCATCGATTCGTAATGGCATCATGAGATAGTTAAATTGGCCACCAGTACCACAACTAACGTTAGCCAGGTGCCAATCTAGCTAGCTAACGTTAACTGCTTCATCTCCCTTTGATATATAGCTAACGCGTTACTAACTAAAACATTAAGAATGTTATTATTAGCTAATGTTAGCTAGCTACAATGCCTATTTAACGTCCTTGCTAATTGACGTTAGATATTTAGCTAGTTATTTAGCTAACGTTACATAGCTAGCAGATAATAAGCCAACATGAAATTAGTTAGATAGCAAAGGAGGATAGCTAGCTAATGGCGTTAGCTTAGCCGGCTATATGGCTGGCACTCAGACAATCAGTGTTTAGCTAGCAGCGCACAGCGTCAATAGTACATAGCTCGCAATGGGTGATTGACAAATTTTGTTGTAATCCAATTAATGTATTATGTAAAAGTAAGACAGCAACTTCCTCACCTTTAATCCCAGCCATTTCTGTAGGACATAAACTTGTCACACAGTCCACGAGAACAATACACCCTTACTACTGCATCAAACAGTCCGTGAATTCGATTTCACCAACAGGGCTGTCTGTAGCTAGCAATGCGCATGCGCGGAAACCCATCAGTCAGAATAACATAAAAATTCGTTTTTTATATATAAAATAGAGCATCTGACTAATTAATGTCTATGCTGAAACCCACCCTGTATCTAAATACGTTTGCTAATCATCCCAGGGGTTGATGAGAAGTAATATAGCTAACTAGCTAGCTAGTATATGATGTTGTATTATGATGTTTGTCTTTTTAAATGCATGGGGATTCCTCACTTTTTTATTTGGTTTGTGATTCTGTCAATCCGGAAGAAACATAATTTTGCTTCCGCTGGCAGTCTGCATGGAGTGAAAGATGGCGAGTGGAGGAGGTACCGTTGCTTCGCTTTGGACCGAAGCAAATCGTTGTGGACAGAATGGAGATTTCACTCGGGCCCTCAAAGCTGTCAACAAAAGTAGGGTTTTAGTCTTGTTCACATGTTTGTAGCTGTCAAGCTGAATAAATGCTCTGTGTTGTTTGAGGGCTGAATAGATTAATAGCCATCTGGCTAACCTAGCTAGCGAGGTAACAGAAATATGCAGCTATAATCAAGCTATTCACTAGTTAGGTCGTTTTTGTTGATAAATTAAAATGTTCCCCCAATGATCAGGAACATAGTGTAGATTTTATTGAGAACAGTAAGAGTGTATTTTTACTATAGGGATAATATTTCTAAATTGTCAGTCACATGAGTGATAAACACAGTGACGTGTCCCAATCAGCTAGCTAGCAACTACCCTGTTTGACCCTATCCCGTAGCTAGCACCCTTGTATCTGCTGAGAGAGTGTGGGGTTCACAGATTTGCACTTTCATTGGAACATTATTGAGTTCTCTATTGCACACCAATAATTGAGATTTGATGAAGTTATAGTTAGTGGTGACTGGTGAGTGACCTGAAGGAAAATTATACTTTTGCATGTAGCTACACTAAGGGACAATCTGCGATTGCTACATTAAAAATAAATAAACGTTTATGTTAATTATATATACTCATTGATTCTTGAAGAATATAACTTATAAATGCATCATGAGCTTAGTTAATATATAAGCTTGTTTTACTCCAATGTTTGTCAACAATGTAATTGTAAACAAACGTTGTACATTTTACATTTACATGTTAGTCATTTAGCAGACGCTCTTATCCAGAGCGACTTAGAGTTAGTGAGTGCATACATATTCATACGTCCCCCCCCGTACAGTATATAGCCTCAAAACATGGTTGAAATGATCATTTGATCTCATGGATGGTCAGTCCTTGCATTCGTAGCTCTGTCTATGAATTTGAGATTACATTTCTCCAGCCCCATCCTTAAGCTCTTTACTAAAACAGTGGTTGCTTTGTTATTGTTAGAAATGCAGATTGCCCCTTTAATCTCAAAATTATGCATTTATTCCACAGTTTTGCATGAAGTCAAGGAAGATGTGACAGCCCTTCACTGTAAAATAGTATGCCTGGTGCAAAATGGCAGCTTCAAAGAGGCACTGAATGTCATGAACACATATTCAAAAGTACTTTGCAGGTATGTTGAATATGACTTGAACATATTGTTCAATATTGATAATCTTGTAGCAATGCAAAATCAATAAATACTTGGTCTGGTTTGAGAAACTCCTGGCCGTACCCTTAGGCCAATGTTTAACATTTTCTTTGTGCTTCCTCAGTGAACTCATTGTGTTTGAAAAGGCCTACTGTGAGTACCGGTTGAACAGAGTTGAAAGTGCCCTGAAGACCATTGAAAGTGTTTCAGAACAAACAGACAAGCTCAAGGAACTCTATGGTCAAGTGGTAAGACTTTATGAAAATAAGAAATTACATGAGATGTTGTTTGCACTGCTTCTCCGTCTACCCTTCAGTGGATAATGTTGCCAGCCACAGTAAACTGGCCCAATGTACTGACCCCTGACCTCCCCTTTGTTCTCACCTTAGCTGTACCGTATGGAGCGCTATGACGAGTGCAAGACTGTCTACACAGACCTAATCAGGAACTCCCAGGATGAATACGAAGAGGAGAGGAAGACCAACCTGTCAGCCGTGGTGGCTGCTATGAGCACATGGGAGAAGGCTTCTCCCGTGGGTCTTCTGCACACAATTAAAACAGACTTCTATTCAAACTGATTTTCTGAGACACTTGGTTATTGAAGCCTTGGTATCCTTAATCTTCCCAAAGTTTCTATTTAACACCGAATAATACATTTAATGTTTTTGCAGGATGATCTTGGCCTGTCAGAGACTACATACGAGCTGAGCTACAACGCTGCCTGTACTCTAATTGGTCAAGGCCAACTCGCAGAGGCTATGAACAAACTACAGGAAGCAGAAGGTTAGGACCACAGACGATTGCAATTTTGCCTGCTACAGACATGGCCTTAATTCGTAATACTGTGCGGTAGGTTTTGTCCAGCCCTTTCATAGTTAATGTTGACCATTTTTGTTTGCGTAATTTTTTTCAGAGCTTTGTCGGGTTTCCTTGTCAGAGGATTCGGTGAGTGCTCTATGCCTGTGAAATAAATAAGTAATAATGCCACGTCATGGCTAAGCATACAGATATAAAAATGTCACCAACAGTTTTTTCAAATTCTAAGCCGTAATTTGCTTGTCTGGTTTGTGCAGGATATAACTGAGGAGGACATTGAGTCGGAGCTGGCCGTCATCCATTCCCAGATGGCCTACATTATGCAGTTACAGGGTCGGACAGAGGAGGCGCTGCAGCTCTATAACCAAGTCATCAAGCTCAAGTGAGTGTTACTCCAAAGTGGAATCAATTGAGCCATTACATTCAATTGTAAAGTATGTGCTATTGTAGGCACAGGAAGAGAGAGGAGTGGAATAATTTTTTGTTGAATCCTAGGCCGTCGGATGTGGGACTTCTAGCTGTGACTGCTAACAACATCATTACAATAAACAAGGTAGGTACACGCATGAACATTCCCCGTACTGCTAGGAACTACTAAACATAGAAAAAGGCTTAGCTATTATTGACCGTGTTCTCTTATTGTTGAAGCCATGGGGGCCGAAGCTGTTGCTCATATCTCTTTTCTCCTGCAGGACCAAAACGTGTTTGACTCTAAGAAGAAGGTGAAACTGACAAATACTGACGGCGTCGAGTACAAGCTGGCCAAGAAACAGCTGCAGGCCATCGAATTCAACAAAGCCCTGTTGGCTATGTACACTAACCAGGTATTGGATTTGAAGACATTAACTCATTGTTAAAATGATCCTTCACTCTTTATTCACAGCTTTATTTTGACAATTTCACTACACACTCATGTCAAATCAAAATCATATAAAATGTTATGTCACATGTGCTGAATACAACGAGTGTAGACATTACTGTGAAATGCTTACTTACGAGCCTTTTCCCAACAATGCAGTTAAAAAGTAAGAAAATTCACAAATAGTTAAAAGAAAATAGTAACACAATAAAATAACAATAACGAGGCTATATACAGGCTATTTACAAGAAGTACCAGTACCGAGTCAGTGTACTGGGGTACGAGGTAGTTGGGGGGATTGATTGAGTTAATATGTACATGTAGATTTGGTTAGGTGATTGATTTAAGTACATGTAGGTAGGGGGTGAAAAGCAGAAAGTCTGGGGAGCCGTTTAATGAACTGTTCAGCCGTCTTATGGCTTTGGGGTAGAAGCTGTTCAGGAGCCTTTTGGTCCCAGACCATGGAGAATGGTGAACAGGTTAGACTGGGAACCTCAATGGTCATTGATGATTTGTTAATTGTACCCCACAGGCGGACCAGTGCAGAAAGCTGTCGTCAGGCCTCCAGTCCCAGAACCCAGGCCACCCACGGCCCGTTCTGATCCAGGTGGCTCAGCTGTGCAGAGAGAAGCAACACTCCAAGGCCATAGAGCTGCTTCAGGTACTCACTGTTGACCAGATCCTAATTTGAGATATGTGTAAATGATGTATAAATACAGAAGTACATAAATAGCCATTGAAAGCTCTTCCTCCTGCATGTATAATGCCAGCTGTGTGTGTTTCTGTTGTAAAGCGTTTCTCAGACCAGCACCCAGAGAGTGCATCTGGTATCAAATTAACGATGGCACAACTCTATTTGACTCAAGGTAAGGTTGTCTTTCCAAATCCCAGTTTTTTGCTCACTGGGTAACAAGCAGAAAATAGGCCTATTGAAGATGATAAATTAGATTAGTGCTTAACAGTACCCTTACTGATTGATACCTGGTGCTGTGCTATCATGTCATTTGACGAGCGAGTGACTCCTGTTCTGTCAGCATTTAGTTGTTTGAGCACCTGACCGAGTATAAGGTAACCTCGTAATAAATAAATCCTTCATTGGTGTCTTCTCCAAAGGTCATGTTACCAAAGCATGTGACATCTTGAGGTCGATCGAAGATTTCAAGCACAAACAAGGGATGGTTAGTTGTTATACTTCTATTATCTTAAATCTAATCAAAGATTTAAAATGTTCTGAACAAACATTACATCATAACATTTCTGCTAACGAATTGAAATTGTTTCACAGATCTCAGCTCTGGTAACCATGTACAACCACGAAGAGGACATTGACAGCGCAATTGATGTCTTCAGCCAAGCTATTCAGCACTACCAATCTGAACAGGTATTAGTCAACAAGCACATTATAAAGAAGTCAATGTAACTTTTAAAATCCTGGAGTGTGTGTTAGTATTTGTTTCCATAGTAGCACTGCATTGTCCACTAAAAAAAAGAGGACTGAGCACGCCCCCATTCTCATCGACGGGGCTGTAGTGGAACAGGTTGAGAGCTTCAAGTTCCTTGGTGTCCACATCACCAACGAACTATCATGGTCCAAACACACCAAGACAGTCGTGAAGAGGGCACGACAAAGCCTATTCCCCCTCAGGAGACTGAAAATATTTGGCATGGGTCCTCAGATCCTCAAAAAATTCTACAGCTGCACCATCGAGAGCATCCTGACTGGTTGCATCACCGCCTGGTATGGCAACTGCTTGGCCTCCGACCGCAAGGCACTACAGAGGGTAGTGCGTACGGCCCAGTACATCACTGGGGCAAAGCTTCCTGCCATCCAGGACCTCTATACCAGGCGGTGTCAGAGGAAGGCCCTCAAAATTGTCAAAGACTCCAGCCACCCTAGTCATAGACTGTTCTCTCTGCTACCGCACGGCAAGCGGTACCGGAGTGCCAAGTCTAGGTTCAAAAGACTTCTCAACAGCTTCTACCCCCAAGCCATAAGACTCCTGAACAGCTAATCATGGCTACCCAGACTATTTGCACTGCCCCCCCACCCCATCCTTTTTACGCTGCTGCTACTCTGTTAAGTATTTATGCATAGTCACTTTAACTCTACCCACATGTACATATTACCTCAACTACCTCAACTAGCCGGTGCCCCCACACATTGACTCTGCAACGGTACCCCACTGTATATATAGCCTCCCTACTGTCACTTTATTTTACTTCTGTTCTTTTTTTTCTCAACACTTTTTTTGTTGTTGTTTTATTTTTAATTTTTTTGTTTAAAATAAATGCACTGTTGGTTAAGGGCTGTAAGTAAGCATTTCACTGTAATGTCTGCACCTGTTGTATTCGGCGCATGTGACCAATAAAATTTGATTTGATATTCCACTTTGTCTTCCTCCATCCCAGCCTGGTTCCTCTGTTCACCTGGCGCTCGTACGAGAGGCCGCCAATTTCAAGCTTAAGTATGGACGGAAAAAGGAAGCCATCAGTGACCTGGAACAACTGTGGAAGTAAGTGATGCTCTTAACGATTGTTCTGTTTCTACTGTTGTGCAGTGGTGATGTGGAGAATGTTGTTTTGCTTGCTCTACGTGTGGTATTCAATGTAATAACTAGTTTCCCCCCACTCCACAGGCAAAACACCAATGACATCCACACTTTGGCACAACTCATCTCTGCCTATTCTTTGGTCGATCAGGATAAAGCCAAGTCGTATCCTTTTTTCTCTCTCTGTATTTGAAACTACACATAAATAATAACTTTATTTGGAACGAATGCTTGCAATTGATCTAGCAATCCATGCCATTGCCACTATCATAGCAAAACTGTCAGAACTGCAATTTAGAGTCTTTGATGAGTATTTGAATGACTGATATCTCTGATTTTATCTAGTTTCTCATTCACAGGCAAGGTGATTTTACCAGTGCTATCATAAAGTGCCTAGAGCTGTCTAGTGAATGGAAAATAATATTTTATTATATCCTTAGCCCTTTGTCCCAGCCTCAGCAAGCACCTCCCTTCCCCTGAAAGCATGTTGTTCAACGTGGACGTAGATGAGCTGGAGAACTCTCATGGAGCCAACTACGTCAGGAAGAAGGCCGCTAAAGTACCGGGGGACAACCTACCCAAAGAACAAGGGTAAGGCGACCTGAAGCTTTTAAAATGCTTTTAATTAAAAGCTGTGTTAATTAAGCTGCGTACTACCTGTTCTATACATGCTGTATACATAGGCTTTCACTATCAATATTATCTCTCCACAGCCAGGGGGATGTTAAGAAGAAGAAGAAGAAGAAAAAGAAGGGTATGTCCTCATATTGCAAGTTGTGTTGTATGTAAATGTTGAGTTGTATGTGAATATCTGATTTAAATAAAGTCAGCGTCTCTGATTGGGATGGGGAATCATTATTTTTCTCTCGCCTCTGTTTAGGCAAACTGCCCAAGAACTACGACCCCACGGCGAACCCTGACCAGGAAAGATGGCTGCCCATGAGAGAGCGCACCTACTACCGGGGCAGGAAGAAGGGCAAGAAGAAGGAACAAGTGGGTAAAGGCACGCAGGGTGCCACGTCAGGAGCCGGGTCCGACCTGTGAGTAATGCATCCTTGTCTCTTATCGTTTGTCACTTTCATTAACTCTAAAAAGGTATATGAATCTAACAGTTGAACTCAGGAACAATTAAAACATCTCTGACTGATTCCAGATTCATTCAGGTGGCACCCTTTTTGACCTGTAGTGTGTTGCATTTGGCTGGTAATCACATAATTTTGCTGTGTTTCCAGGGATGCCAGTAAGACGGCCAGCAGCCCCCCCACCTCCCCCCGGCCAGGGTCAGCCCAAGCCTCTGCCTCCACCTCGGCCCCCGCTGCCAGCAACGTTGTCCCTCCGCGACAGCAGAAGCCTGCCACTGCAGGGCCAGGGGCTCGCAAGAAGGCCCCTCAGAAGAAGAAGAAGGGAGGCAAGAGTGGCTGGTAGCCTGGAGAACGCTGCAGATATGGAGCAACACATTTTTGACCACCATCACATGGCCTGGAACTCACAGAATCATGAGCTTTGTCATTTTTTAAGTTGGTTACCTTATTTTTTTTTTACTCAAACAACAGTGTCCAATTTGTAGTTGTTGAATAGGTTGCGATACATTTAGTAATAGGCCCCAATACCCTGCCTGCCTTCTTCACTTTAGATTTTATTTTAAGATGCAGAAATGCATGTCGGTGAACTAATGTAAATGGCCAGAGACCTTGTTTGTGTTGTAGGCAAGTGGGGTATCTCTTTAGTTTATAATGCATATAATCTGTGCAGAGGAAATGTACTGTTTGTTTTTTCTCTTCTCTCTGAGCCTGAGTATTTCAAAACGGTTCCTTGACATAAACTAATTTCCTTGACTTGCCTGCTCAATTTCAATCACTTGACCTTGTTTTCAACCTAAAAGAGGAAAGCTGTGTATGTAAAAGTTAAAGTATATTTATTTTTAAATCCCTGCATCAGTTTCGGCTAAAGTAAAAAGGCTGATGTTTTTAAAGGTAGACTCAGCGATATGACGTAGATGCAGAAATGTAAAGTGTGTCAATTTTCGCAACAACTAAGAGCGTTGACGCGCAATGCTCAACTTCTCTGCTTTTTTGGTCTCTTACCTACCACGCTGTAACAGCGTGAAGCGAACCCGTGCGCAGATACTGTGTGAGAGGGAAGTGTTGCATCTTGCTCATCTCAATATCTGCGGTCTGCTGTTGGCAATGTCAGTTCGCTGAGTCTAAATTTTAATTATTGGGTAGCAGTACATAATTAGCACATTGTTTTAGGAACCATTTACAATGATGGAAGCAAACGATTTTTGCATAAATAGTGTCCCATTGTTGTGTCTTAATACATAGGGTTCCTTAATATTAACAACTGAAAAACTGTTGTCGCTTTCTTGTGTTTTTTACTTGAATTTGGCATTGGAAAGTCTATAATCCTCATTTATGGTCATGGAATATCTCATCAGCATTGAATGCAGTGTGCCCTCTTCGATATCAAGCGCCGCCTGGTGGATTTACTATGGAAATGCAAAGCAGAAAAAATAATTCAGCTGCAATGCTGCGTCATTGGTGTTGCAGATTTTCTGTTCCTTTCCATTCATTGAAGTCATTTTTCAGTCTTACATTTGACATTGTGAGGCTACATTCCCCCACTAAGCCATGTTAAATGGTTTTGACTAGATAGTATACAGTTTGTCAGAATTGACCTGAATTTACTTTTCGTAGCAGGTTGGCAGAATTAACGTAGCAGGTTAGGAGAATTAGGTTAAATTTAGGAAAAGGATTAGGTTTGGTTGAAATGCACACACAAAGTCAACTTTTTTGACGGCAATTTGATATTAGCTGTATCCCATCTAGCCATGACGATGTTTATGCGCAAAGTAAAAGGGAATAGGGTGGTTTCTCTACATGTTAATTAAATTGATGAGCCGAAACGAGAGGATTAAGCAATGACTATATGAAGGGATTAAGTCACCGCGGACAGGATAGCAAATTCGTGTGTAATGTAGCAAAGTCTGGCTAAATTGTGGAATATTAATGTCTTAATTTAGATTTTTGGATTTTATTATTTGTTATACTATATATCTCCATATATTCTAGATCCTGCTATCACAAAAATATTTTCCAACTTTTTTTGTCTGGTACTACCTTCCTGTGTGCTCCCAAGCGCCCGGATATCCCCTATCGCGTTGAGGTAGTTTGACTAATCCACTTGTTGTAACGATAACCATAGACATTAGAAGCAGGTTGTAACCAGGGGATGCAAACTTCTAGATAATAACCATTAACACGATGTATAAAGACATGTGAAGCACTTATTCAAGATTTCGCAAAATTGTTTCAAACATGCCTGGTGTCAGAGAAGCTGCGGTCGTGGGTTTTACTCTCGCAGTAACCGGAGGAGTTGGGTATGTCATCTGGACTTATGTGTCTTCGGGGGTAAAGGCGAAGCAAAAACCAAAGCAAGAACCAGAGAAAATAGAAAAGGAGACTAGAAAAACTGCACAAAAAGTACCAGAACGCGCAAACCAAACACCAACAGTCGTAGTAACAGAGGTAGGCTACTTTTTGTTCATCTTGTGCTTGTAAAATGTTTATTTTGATACCTCAGGGATTTTGAGGCACGCCTACTTGACGGATGTTTGTGGTTGCTATTGGAAATAACCTCACCGCAAAGTGTCTCGATTTTGGAAAAGTCTAAATGGGATTTCTTGGGACGTCCCAATTCTGAGTTACCCAATTGAAGTTCAAACGTAAAACGTTAAGGGTTATGTTAAGGGTAGGATTTAAGATTAGTGTTTAGGGAACGAATTGCAAAAATCTCTGAAGCTGGAGACTCTTATCTCCCTCACTAACTTTAAGCATCAGTTGTCAGAGCACCTTACCGATCACTGCACCTGTACACAGCCCATCTGAAATTAGCCCACCCAACTACCTCATCCCTATATTGTTATTTATTTTGCTCTTTTGCACCCCAGTATCTCTATTTGCACATAATCTCTTGCACATCTAGCATTCCAGTGTTAATACTAATTGTAATTATTTTGCACTATAGCCTATTTATTGCCTTACCTCCATAACTTGCTACATTTGCACACACTGTATATATATTTTCTGTTGTATTTTTGACTTTTTTACCCCATATGTAACTCTGTGTTGTTGTTTTTATCGCACTGCTTTGCTTTATCTTGGCCAGGTCGCAGTTGTAAATGAGAACCTGTTCTCAACTGGCTTACCTGGTTAAATAAAGGTTAAATAAAAATAAATAAAAAATAAAGGGTAGGGATTTCCCATTGATACCGAATTGCACTAACCCAAGATTTGAAAGAACTTCAACATTTCTATTGTGAAACTACATGTCGTAATGTTAATAAATATGTAATAAGTAGGGTCCTCACTCAGTTTATTTTCTGTGACAGATTAGTCACTGGAGTGGCTGAAACGACTATTGTTGCTTGGTCAGCTTGACGTTATAATAATGTTGCCGGACTGAATCATCATTCAGTGGTAGCCTGGCCCTATAGTATTTTCTTAGGCAGTGAGTCAGCCTGTAGTGACCACATGATGTGATAATGTGACAGTTCAGTTCAGCCCCCTTCAGTCTCATTGACTTCTGTAGGCCTATGCTATAAAAGTCTGAAGTAAAGATAAAGCAATAAACGTGATTGTTTTAGGGCTAAATCATTGCACTATTCACCATCAAATCAAATTGTATTGGTCACATGGGCCGAATACAACCGGTGTAGACTACAGTAAAATGCTTACTTACGACATTCCCAACAGTGCAGAGTTAAAACGTTACACAATATAAACAAGAATGAGTCTATATACTAGGTGTACCCGTACCGAGTCAATGTGCAAGGGTACGAGGTAATTGAGGTAATGCAGTATGTGTAGGTAGGGGTAAAAGTGACTAGGCAATCAGGATATTTAATAAACAGAGCAGCAGCGTGTATCAACACGTGTGAGCGTATATATTTGTTGGAGTGTCAGTGTAGTATGTGAGTATGTGGGTAGACAGTTGCAAGCACCTGTTAAGATTCTAGAATGTCCCAGTATCATGGTTTTAATTAACATTAACTAATTATTCTGGATCAGCACTTGCAGATAATTCTTCCACATGAGTAACATGTTTGCCTTTATATACTCCATCTTTGCTTGTGGGTTAGCATCCATAGAGATGTATAGATGATTCTAGTACCCAAAAGCCTGTTTTAGCATGGGCATCGCCATTGAGGACTTTCACCATTTTCAAGTAGTTAACTTGGTGGGACTTCCTATAGGTTAAGGAAGGAATAAATAAATAATACTTGTGAGCAAACATTCCATAACTGCAGGTGGCAGTAAATCGCCAACCTTGGCTTTATATCTGTTCAAACAACACATTTTAGGTGGCAGTATACAAACTTTCAGTTTGTTTACCAACTCATAGAAGTAGTAGCAGAAGAACATTGACTACTTCAAAATGGAGATGCCCTCAATGGCACTTCCCGTGCGCTCACTGACACCATAATGGGAGAGATACAACGTTGCGATCTCTATACATTTTAGTCATTTAGCAGACGCTCTTATCCAGAGCAACTTACAGAAGCAATTAGGGTTAAGTGCCTTGCTCAAGGGCACATCGACAGATTCTTCACCTAGTCGGCTCGGGGATTAGAACCAGCAACCTTTCAGTTACTGGCACAACGCTCTTAACCACTAAGCTACCTGCCGCCCCAATACATCTCGATGGTTGCATCTGATGTCTCTATGTTATTATGTGTCATCCTAGGTGAAGCCCACAGGAAAGCAAGTCCTGGTGCTCGGCCTTGAAGGTGCAGGGAAGACCAGCCTGCTGCACTGCTTTGCCACGGGGAGTCTGGAGCAGGATGTGACCCCAACACAGGGCTTTAACGCTGTGTCCATTAATAGGGAGGACCTGCAGATCGAGTTCCTAGAAAGTGAATACAACCTGCACATAACAATGATGAGAGTACAGTAACTGCTAATTCTCTGGATGACCATGATAAGAAGAAATGGGTCTCATTTAGTGGAGACCTTAATTCAAGCTGTTAAATATGAAAAATGACAAAAATGAGTTGATCACTCAATATGCATTCATAGTATTTTCTTGTGTTTCACAAATGTACAAAAATGACTTCTCTGATACCTTGTGGTGAAGAAATGAAATAAAAAAACATGGCATATTTTGCAGTTGGTGGCACACAGAACCTGCAGCCCTATTGGAAGAGGTACATGTGCAAGGCTATGGTGCTGGTGTTTGTGGTGGACTCCTCAGACGCCGCCCAGTTCCCTTTGGCTAAGAAGTATCTCCACGAGCTGCTGGAAACCGACCTTTACCTTCCCTTAGTGGTACTAGCCAACAAGCAGGTGAGACTGGCACACTGACATAAGACTCCAATCTCAATTGTCTTTCCTTGAATCCTCACGTCCTCTCTCCTCACCTCCTTCTCAAAACGCATTGAAAACGCAAAGGGGCATGACCCTAGATCTTCTCCTCCAATGCATTTTAAGAACGAGATGAGGAGAAAGGACATGAGGAATCGAGGAAAGACAATTGAGAAAGAGCGAAGGGTTGCATCTCAATAGTCATGTGGGCGTTTCCTTTCCTCATCGCCTCTTTTTTTTAAATCCTTGTGAGATACTGCACCTGCTCGAGTGTCTTACCTTGGTTTTGATCCGGTTATTCCCCCATCTCCAGGATAACCAGGGGGCCTGCAGTATCACAACGCTCCATGAAGCCCTGTCCCTGGAGGAGGTGGGGGACCAGCGCAAGCTCTTCCTCATCGGCACCCATGTAAGGAAGGGGGACACGGAGGTGAACTCTGCTGTGCAGGACACACGGGACCTGATCATTCAAATGGTGCAGGATGGTAGATAGACTCACCATCTAGTCATCAGATACAGATGTAGGATCTTAATTTGATCACTCTTTTGTTGCTGAGAATTTTCCAGCACAGCAGGAAATGCAAACTTGTAGTGCATTTTAATTTTAAAAAGGCTTATAAAGTTGGTCATTTCCACTTGAATTGTCAGACTTGATTTGCCCTAATGAAAAAGGTATCAACCTCTAGAAAAATGTATATTAATTATAATCCACATAATAATTCACATTTCCTATTGCTGCAGGATTATTTTCCTGCTGTAGCAAACTGTCTCAAATTAAGATTCTACATCTGTATGAATGACCCACTGGCTTAGGTGATATTTTACCTTAATTTCACCCCTGTCCTGGCTTGCCTTCATTTGTTTTGATAGCACTAGCTACAAGCTCTATTGACAGACAGCATGATAGTGAAAGGCCTCATTCACATCTGTAGAATGATGATGATTCCAGAGAAGCTAAAAGCTGACAACGTGCTTATGGTCAAACTCATTCACTGGCAGTTGCATTCATTCATTAATTAATTGCATTAGCACAAATGAACAAAAGCACAGAGTTGATCATTTACTTGTCTCTGTAGTAGACACAATATTTCAAGGATGGTCTCAACATCCTTACCTATAGGGATTTAATTGATAATGCTTTGTTGTCATCAAAGATTCTTCTCTTAGTGCTATCTACAACTGTAGAGCGCAATGTAGGTTACATGTTTAGACTCAGTGCTGTTAGGTACTATGTTGAAGACTCTTTCGAGGTACATTTAATTATTTTTGTTATATTGTATAAGAAAAGTTATGTATTGACTATATTGTCTTAAAAGGGAACTTGCTACATAGTTATATTTTCTTAAAACCAATGTGATTGTTGTGTAACCAAAGCAATCCATCCAGACATTTATTTTGAAGCATTTAAAAATGCCAAAGTACCATTTTTCACATGTCTAGGCATGTTTATTTGGCTAACAATGTTTTGCCTTGGAGTTAATTGAAGCTTTTACATGCACTAAGAAATAAATCGACATAAGCACAAAAAGTGCTTCTCGTTTTAACGTTTAACACTGGTAAAACGACTGGTATAATCTTTAGTAATAAGCAGGTTTGAAGTGCACTACTGAACAATTCATTTGAATGCCGTGACTATAACAGACCTCCAAACCATTCTGTCATTTAAGCATCAAAAAACACATTTTTTGCCACTCTTTTTCTGTTTTGTCACACCCGGTAATGTAAATAAAAACCCTTGTTGTAAATGTCTGTGATGCTCAAAGTTTTGTCTATAGGCTTATGGTGACATATAACTTATTTCTGGAGTTAAAATACAGCTAACCATAAATACTTAAGTCATTCTTTGACCTCAGATATCACTTTTAATTTGACATCCTGTATCGGAAGTCTTGAGAAAGAAGATAGACTCACTCCAAGAGGGGCTTGCACAATCCGGTTTCAACCCGCCACACTCAAGTACTTCAGTCCTGCCATGTGACTCCTAATGCCAATACAACAGCACAGACCATTGTGACCCAGCAGGTGAACTCAACCTGGTGCATTTATAAAGCCTTTCCATCAGGCAGACTTGGTATCTAGAAAAACAGGTACGTTTGGCGGGACCATGTCCAAATGCGCATGCTGATCATTATGTTATCCAAAATGTTTTGCAGAATTTCACTTTCTTTTTATCATAAGGGCATAAACCCAATTGCACATTATTCTCAGAACAATTTTCTCTTTTGTAGGACTTGTCCATCAAACAGGTGCACATATTTTCTTTATGAATTCCTTGATGAAACTGAAAGCAAGGTACTATAACTACTACATTGTTATTGATTTTCTTTGTATTGTGAGGATAAATTGGAGCAGGTGATAACACTGTGGGTCACAACACCTTGGTAAGTAGGCTACTTTTTTAGTAAATGTATTTGCAAAGGTTTTTATTCTCATGACATTTGAGATAATTTTATAAAAATACAATTTACAAGTCTATCAGTGGAAAAAAGTTCAACCAAATACTATTTTGTTACATCAACATTCATAGTGAACATGTTTATGTGAGCTATTTTCCCTATTGGATTTCCCCCCTTGAAAGTCTATTTTCTCATTGATCTAGTCCAACGCTTACCTGGGGCAACCAGGAGTCGATATGGCCCCTGTCTTACTCAGCGCTGGAAGCAGTTCCAACAGAAATAATCCAATACCTAGCTAAGCACAAAAGAGACTTCTCAGCATGGGAGAAACACCTGAGGTAATTGTTTACTAATTACACCCAGGCTGAACATTATTGATGACTTTATCAAAAGTATGATCCAACCGTTTGAAGAAGAAAAGTATGTAAGTGCTCATACATTACCATTTTAATGTGCAGTGTCACTACAAAATTGTGAAGATGTTTGCTAAGTCTAAATATTGGTCTGCTCTAAAAGCTTGCATCGATACAGTAGATTTGGCTCTGAGCTCCTATCAAGTGCAGGAAATGCTCCTCCCAAGTGAAAAGTGACATACACACATCCACCCACATATACATGTATGCTACACACATTACAACTGCTGCTACCAGACTCTTATTATGATTGCTAAATACAGCACAATTTAAACACTTGACCCACAATTCACCTTCCACAAAACAAGTGTACATTCTGGACTATAAATTGTGCTTTCCTGTATTATACTTATGCTAAAATGTTCTTATCTTTGATTATTTCTTATTATTGTTGCATTATCCAGAAGGAACCTGCAAGTAAGAATTTCGATGGACAGTGTATACCATGTGTATCCCGTACATAGGACTAATAACACTTGAAACTTGAAAATGATGTTCAGGGTATTTGCTAATTTCTTGCATCCTCATTGGAGATGACTGCTCCAGATACAGTACATCCATTCTAATTAAGGAGATACAGTGGGGGAAAAAGTATTTAGTCAGCCACCAATTGTGCAAGTTCTCCCACTTAAACAGATGAGAGAGGCCTGTATTTTTCATCATAGGTACACGTCAACTATGACAGACAAAATGAGAAAAAAAAATCCAGAAAATCATATTGTACGATTTTTAATGAATTTATTTGCAAATTATGGTGGAAAATAAGTATTTGGTCAATAACAAAAGTTTCTCAATACTTTGTTATATACCCTTTGTTGGCAATGACACAGGTCAAACGTTTTCTGTAAGTCTTCACAAGGTTTTCACACACTGTTGCTGGTATTTTGGCCCATTCCTCCATGCAGATCTCCTCTAGAGCAGTGATGTTTTGGGGCTGTCGCTGGGCAACACGGACTTTCAACTCCCTCCAAAGATTTTCTATGGGGTTGAGATCTGGAGACTGGCTAGGCCTCTCCAGGACCTTGAAATGCTTCTTACGAAGCCACTCCTTCGTTGCCCGGGCGGTGTGTTTGGGATCATTGTCATGCTGAAAGACCCAGCCACGTTTCATCTTCAATGCCCTTGCTGATGGAAGGAGGTTTTCACTCAAAATCTCACGATACATGGCCCCATTCATTCTTTCCTTTACACGGATCAGTCGTCCTGGTCCCTTTGCAGAAAAACAGCCCCAAAGCATGATGTTTCTACCCCCATGCTTCACAGTAGGTATGGTGTTCTTTGGATGCAACTCAGCATTCTTTGTCCTCCAAACACGACGAGTTGAGTTTTTACCAAAAAGTTATATTTTGGTTTCATCTGACCATATGACATTCTCCCAATCCTTTTCTGGATCATCCAAATGCACTCTAGCAAACTTCAGATGGGCCTGGACATGTACTGGCTTAAGCAGGGGGACACGTCTGGCACTGCAGGATTTGAGTCCCTGGCGGCGTAGTGTGTTACTGATGGTAGGCTTTGTTACTTTGGTCCCAGCTCTCTGCAGGTCATTCAATAGGTCCCCCCGTGTGGTTCTGGGATTTTTGCTCACCGTTCTTGTGATCATTTTGACCCCACTGGGTGAGATCTTGCGTGGAGCCCCAGATCGAGGGAGATTCTCAGTGGTCTTGTATGTCTTCCATTTCCTAATAATTGCTCCCACAGTTGATTTCTTCAAACCAAGCTGCTTACCTATTGCAGATTCAGTCTTCCCAGCCTGGTGCAGGTCTACAATTTTGTTTCTGGTGTCCTTTGACAGCTCTTTGGTCTTGGCCATAGTGGAGTTTGGAGTGTGACTGTTTGAGGTTGTGGACAGGTGTCTTTTATACTGATAACAAGTTCAAACAGGTGCCATTAATACAGGTAACGAGTGGAGGACAGAGGAGCCTCTTAAAGAAGAAGTTACAGGTCTGTGAGAGCCAGAAATCTTGCTTGTTTGTAGGTGACCAAATACTTATTTTCCACCATAATTTGCAAATAAATTCATTAAAAATCCTACAATGTGATTTTCTGGAAAAAAAATTCTCAATTTGTCTTTCATAGTTGACGTGTACCTATGATGAAAATTACAGGCCTCATCTTTTTAAGTGGGAGAACTTGCACAATTGGTGGCTGACTAAATACTTTTTTTCCCCACTGTATCTATTGGTTAGGTTCAGAACCTGTATTAGATGACCTACTTACTGTTTTGTTTCTCAGCTGTCAAGCTAAATGTGTAAGGAACATTAGACCAATAATTCTATCAAAGTTCTTTTCAGGAAGCCCTTCCTTATTAAATAAGCAATTTATTGAATTGAAAAAGGCAGCAATTGCCAGCAAGTGAGAACGAATGGCCAGTTTGGCCACAGGCAAGCTGTCATCATTGTTTCTGTGCTCATTGAATTCATGGTTTAATATGCTGCAGAAAAACTATGCTCAAGTGTTCCAAGTGGTTGTAGTTGCACCACATAACGTTGCCTGGCTACCCAGACTCCTTGCTCCGGACAAACGCTACACTACGCCCACGGACGTTAGTTTCTTCTCTGCAATGAGTCTGGATCTGAGTACCTCCCCGACCCTTCACCGAATGCGAACACATTTGTGGCTGTCTGATTGGTCCAGAAACCAATGGGTTGGGCCAGAGTCAGAACACACGTGGGTTAAGCGTGATTGGGCCAATCGCTGATGACTTTGTTTTGTACAACGCCCCTCGTGCCCCTCATCACCACAAATGACTTTAATGATGGCAGTCTGACAGATTGACAGTGCAGCGGAATAATTTAGTGTGAGTCGTCAGACTACCACATAACCCTACTAGATAATTGGAGACAAATATTTGACATTCTTCAAATGTGCAGTTTATGACTAAACCATTAAGTCTAAATGAGATTACGGAGAAAGTGAATTTAGTTCCCTGGGTGCTGCCTGTAGGCAAGAGAGGTGGCATGTCACACTCACAATGTGTCATGATCCATATCTCACTTAAAACTAAATCAGTCTTTATTGACATGTTGTTCAGGGTCAACAGAGTCAGATCTGTCTATTCACCCCTCTAAAATACTTGCATCATTAGTGATGCATTTAACCCTTCCATTTGTCCATTGAAAGAGGATGATATGTATTTTCCCTCTGGCATAATGAGACATCCTTTAGCCCAAAGACATGGACAGTAATTGCTCATATTTTCCTGCAGGAAAGAGGAGGTGAGCTCCTCCAGGAAGACACTACGTCCTTCCTCCAAGAACGACCAGTACGAGCGCATTGGCCACCTGTCAACACCCAAGACCAGGTCCCGAAGCTCCCAGGAAATGGGGTAAAGTCCCGACGCTCCCAGGAAATGTGGTAAAGTGGAAAACGTGACCCAAAAAAAACATGCCCAGTCCATGTTGTTAAATACTAGAGTATACGCAAGCATGCTGCTTGGCCCAGATCTAAAATTAGCCTCCTTCTTGGACTAGGAAGCCAATATTTTGCTGTGTTATTTCAGTAGCGAGCTGTGGCTCTGGGAGAGAGAGGAGACGATGGTGAGACAATAGGGGGTATTGTCCAAAGCTCAGGCCCCTGGGACATTCACAGACGGCCACATAAGTATTTTTATAAATCTTGAAGAGCAACAGCGCATATTTGGGCTCAAGCCTCCTAGAAAAGATTCTCAGGCCCGCACACCGGATCAAATATGAAAAACAATATGCCTGTTTGTTTTCATAATTCTGTGTCACACTCTCCAATGGGCATGGCCTGAAAATAGGAGAGGTTTGAGGTCAGGGGGGAGGGCTATGTTGAGGTGTTGGTTCCTGATGCTTCACATTGTTTAATGGTGATCCCACATGTAGAAATAGGAATATTAGAATCTCTGTGGTTCCACAGGCCTACTCACACTTTGTGGTGTGAGTACATCTGCCCTATCTGGCACATAGACCCCAGAGTGAACACTGCTGAGACCACTCCATGGCTACTACAGCTAGCTAATCCCAAAGGGAACCACCTCAACTTCAAAAGCAACAGGGAGGTAAGTGCCTAGAATGAAAGGTGCTATCTAGAACCTAAAAGGGTTCTTTGGCTGTCCCCATAGGAGAATCCTTTGAAGAACCCTTCATGGTTCCAGGTAGAACCCTTTTGAATTCCATCTAGAACCCTTTCCACAGAGGGTTCTACCTGGAACCAAAAATGGTTCTCCTATGGGGACAGCCGAAGAACCCCTTTGGAACAATTTTTTCTAAGAGTGTATGTTATTCATTCAAATCAGTGGAGTTCAAAGTGTTTTCAAAGGTGTACATCACAGGTTTACAGTTGCTGTACCTTTGGATATTTATATAACTTATTTAGAACTGCAGTTTCTTTGCCTTGAAGGCTTGAGGGCATTTTCAAAACTCCATGTTTGATTGGGAAACCATACAAAAGTCAGTGATTCATCTTTTCCTTCCTCTTTTTGTTTTAGTTTTTGAAGAAAGTGGAGACGTACATTTCATGTGCTGCCAAAACTGGCCAGACCACTCCCAGGCTGGACCAGCTCTCGCTACCCAAGTTGAGGGACAGTCAAATGTCCAGAAGACTCCATTTGGCTAGTGAGCACATCGCCTTTACTGACATCCACACAACAAGCTGGAAAACAAATGTTACACATTTGCACTAATGTGTAACATTACCTCAATATTGTTGTGATGTGAGATTTTTTATTTTTGATCATTTGGAAAAATGCAACGTAAAAAAAATTGTATGCTTTCATATAATTTTTCTAGATCCTTGGACAGGACTCTCTGAAACATGCGTTCTCAACAGGTGTCAAGGGGAGCTCGGCAGGCTACAGCGACCTCACGCCTTCGAACTCTATCAGCTCCTAAGGGACTTAATAAGGACTACATTCTTCTGAGAGACCTGCCATCTTTATGTGCTTGCTTCTCCGTCAAGGTCCATGTTGGTGCACAATGGACAAGGGAAAATGGTCGCTGCGAAAAGCAAAATAAATGGGTAGACCCAAGGGGTCTCTGCTTTTTAAAATCTGTTTGGCGCCAGGGCTGAGATGGTAAAACCGGCTCCTCTTTGTCCCCACTGGTTTTGCAATCATGTGCAATGAGACGTGTGCTTGGAGCTCTTTTGGACAAAATCAAAGCATTACATTACATTGTCTTTAGCAAACGGCCAAACCAAACTGGCTCCTTTCTGACCATTGGGGTTGTTTTCTTTGCTTTGCTACTTCCAAGATCCAGTAGCCCCCCTTTCCAAAATAATGTGTTATCATCTTTTGAAATGAGAGTAAGGTATGATAAAAGGATCCACATGTGTTTCTACATTTCAATCATTTTGGGTTCTCTGTTTATATCATAACCACCTGTTGTAAAGATTCCTCATGTGTTTTCCTTGAGATAGTCAAATCACATACATTGATTCAAAATAACATTCTCGCTCCAGGAGCTTCAAATTCCTTCTAAAGAGTCAGCCTCGCAGCCAACCCTCGCTATATGACCACTGTTTAATTTTCAAAGGGCGCCGTGAGCTCGCTTTGAAATCCACCGTAATCCTGGTTATACTACAGGCGCATGTGAGCATTATGTAAAGGTGGACACAATGGCTTTCAAAGGGGTCATGTGGATTTAGAGCAGTGCGTGAGGGTTGGTGTAGCTGCCATGGGTGTAGGGCCCCAGTGGAGAGGCGTACGGATCTCAGAGGCTAGACTTCAAAGCAGATCCAAGCGTCCAACTGGGACCTAATCTGGGATAACCCAGCAATGATCGTGACCTGGGTCTGTAAGGTAAAGAGGGTTAGTGGAAGGCGGAGGAGGCAAAGGAGGAAGGAGGGGTGTGTAATCGCTCTGTCGGTGCCTCCCGCTGGTTGACTCAGTTCCCATGGTGCACCTGTTCCTAGAGAGGAGCTCCGAATTTTGTCCCTGGTTATCTGTCTGTGTGTGGCAGCCGGCTCTGACACTGATAGGCTGTGAGTGGGGAGGCTGTCTCAGTCTAGATCCCGCCGACTAGATGTGATGCTTACGCTTGCAGAGTATTAGTGCGACTGATCTGGTTTTGGCAGATAACTGCAACACTATATTAAGCAACGCATTAAGCTACACGTTATAAAGGGTTTATAAAGGGTACATACATCATTTATAGGCATTTCATTATTGATTTAGTAATTGGTAATAAACAGATGTGTGTGTGTAAATATATCACATCTATAAACACCTGAATGAAGATCACTATTGAGTGAAACTAGCTACTTTAACAACTCGCCACTTAACCTTTTATGAAGTTCAGCACACAAATTCCATGCTCCACACTGTGTCTTATCGGCCTTGTTAGATGTTCTCATATAATCCTTGACTATTCAAAGCTGCACGCAGAAACCCTCTGATCATAGAAATGTAGCATTTGTAGCGTCCTTGCTCTCAACATAATGTCAGTGACAAGGGCACTACTCATGTTGCACTGAGCGTTGTTAACCTTCTCTATCGTGTATTGGCAAAATATGTGCTGCATCCTCAACCCACATTTCCTCTTAATGCAGCAATAAGAACAAACCAAGACGTCCTCAATTGCATATTTTGTTGAAGTTCTATCTTTGCTCATACATTGATGCACATGTGAACCGTATTAGTCTAGCAGCTTCTCGAGTCCTGGAAAGTGCGGTTTGGACAGAGTGCAGTTTGGAAAGTTCTGGACGCTCACCAGTCCTGGGGTGACAGATTCCACACAGGCCTGCTAAGTCCACTTAGCAACAGACAATACCCGGACCCATTCAACTTCCATACACACCACATGGGCCTCTTATAGCATGGTAACGACCACTCCAGCGAGCCTTTCATTCCATTGAATTGTAGTTCGGAAATGACGTCAAAAGCGATATAGCATTATCTTTCTTATAATGGTACATATCAATAAAGGAGCAGTGAGGTCATTTTGTTTTCAATTATCAATTTCTTTATGGGTTTGTTTGCTTCTTTTTTTTGGCAGCTGCAACACAAATCATATGATTTAATAGTGACGTGCAAGAAGGAACAATGTATGCTTTCAGCTGGCGCTTCCTGATGGGCAGACCACAGACTGTGAGGATTGCAACAACACCTCCTTCACCTCCAACACAGGGGCCCCCCAGGGGTGTGTCCTCAGCCCTCTGCTGTACTTCCACAACTGCGTGGCTTTGCATGACACCAACTCCATCATCATGTTTGCTGGTGTCATCCAACAATACGAGTCGGCCTATAGGGAGGAGGTAAGTGAACTGGCACACAGGAAATGAACACAAGTCTCCTACGGGAGCAACCAACTTTTTAGACCATAAGACCAAGAGGAAATTCCCTCTTGGGCCGAGGGCAGAAACTGGGCCGGAGGGCAGACACAGGCGGGGCTACCTCATCACGTGACTATGACCAACTTATGTCCGATACACCAGGACAACAACCTCTCCCTTAACGTCAGCAAAACAAAGGAGTTGATTGTTGACTTCAGGAAGCAGAGGAGGGAACATGCCCTGATCCACATCAACGGGACTGCAGTAGAGAGAGTCAGCAGTTTTAAGTTCCTCGGCAGTCACTTCACGAGGACTTGACATGGACCAAAAAAACACCACTCGTCAAGAGGTCACAACAGCGCCTGTACTTCCTAAGGCGGCTGAAGAAATTTGGCATGCCACCCCGGGTCCTCTCCAAATACTACCGCTGCACCATTGAGAGCGTCCTGACCGGTTGCATCACGGCATGGTACGGGAATTGCTCCATCCACGACCCCAAGGCCCTCCAGTGGGTGGTGAAGACAGCCCAGTACATCACTGGGACTGTGCTCCCACCCATCCAGGACATCTACTCGAAACGGTGCCTGAGGAAGGCCCGCAGCATCATCAAGGGGACCACACACCCCATCCATGAGCTGTTCACTCCCTTACTATTTGGCCAGATGGTATCGGAGCATGAGGTCTGATACCAACAGGCTCAGAGACAGTTTCTATCTACAAGCCATCAGACTGCTGAACACTTAAACTGGACTAACCACCTGCTCTGATTATCTGCACCTTAGCACACATGCACTCACTCATGCACACACCCACACAGACTTACACACATCCACACACACAGACTTACTCACATCCACACACATATACACTGAACAACAATATAAACGCAACATGTAAAGTGTTGGTCCCATGTTTCATGAGCTAAAAAAAAAAAAAAAAAGAAATGTTCCATACACACAAAAAGCTTGTGCACAAATGTGTTTACATCCCTGTTAGTGAGCATTTACCCTTTGCCAAGATAATCCATCCACCTGACAGGTGTGACATATCAAGAAGCTGATTAAACAGCATGATCATTACACAGGTGCACCTTGTGCTGGGGACAATAAAAGGCCACTCTAAAATGTGCAGTTTTGTCACACAACACACTGCCACAGATGTCTCAAGTTTTGAGGCAGTGTGCAATTGGCATGCTGACTGCAGAAATGTCCACCAGAGCTGTTGCCAGAGAATTTAATGTTAATTGCTCTACCATAAACCAACGCCATTTTAGAGAATTTGGCAGTACGTCCAACCGGCCTCACAACTGCAGACCATGTGTATGTCGTCATGTGGGCGAGCGGTTTGCTGATCTCAATGTTGTGAACAGAGTGCCCGATGGTGGTGGTGGGGTTATGGTATTGGGAGGCGTAAGCTATGGACAATGAACACAATTGCATTTTATCAATGGCAATTTGAATGCACAGATATACCGTGACGAGATCCTGAGGCCGATTGTCGTGCCATTCATCCGCCGCCATCACCTCATGTTTCAGCATGATAATGCACGGGCCCCATGTCGCAAGGATCTGTACACAATTCCTGAAAAATGTCCCAGTTCTTCCATGGCCTGCATACTCACCAGAAATGTCACCCATTGAGTATGTTTGGGATGCTCTGGATCGACGTGTACGACGTGTAAGCGTGTTCCAGTTCCTGCCAATATCCAGCAACTTCACACAGCCATTGAAGATGAGTGGGACAACATTCCACAGACCACAATCAACAGCCTGATCAACTCTATGTGAAGGAGATGTGTTGTGCTGCATGAGATAAATGGTGGTAACACCAGATACTGACTGGTTTTCTGATCCACGCCCCTAACTTTTTTATAAAGGTATCTGTGACCAACATATGTATATCTGTATTCCCAGTCATGTGAAATCCATAGATGAAGGTCTAATTTCCTTATATGAACTGTAAAATATTTTAAATTGTTGCATGTTTATATTTTTCTTCAGTATACATTCATGCTACACACACATCACAACTGCTGCTACCAGACTCCTGTTAGGATTGCTAAATACTGCACAATTTAAAGACTTGTCCCCCAATCCCCCCCCTTCCCCAAAACGTGTAAATATTGGACTATAAATGGTGCCTTCCTGTATTATACTTATGCTAAAATCTTTATTCTATTTTACTCAGCCAATTACTTTATGTTCATATTCTTATATTTTATTATTTCTTGTTGTTGCATTGTCCAGAAGGAACCTGCAAGTAAGCATTTAGTTGGTGTATACCATGTGTATCCTGTAAAACTTGATGTGTTCAACTCTAAATAAACACACTTGTTTTTCCTCTGTGGGTGTGACAGTTTTTTTCACAGTCAGCTGAACAAAAACAGTGTGTGTATGTGCAGTATTTGCAAGCCAGGCCAAACAGCTATCTGTCACAACACACACTGTAAAACAGACAGACTGTCAGAGAGGGGGGAGTTTTATTAGGACCAGAAGTACGTACCTGTTGAGTTGGTATCAGGCCTGTTATGTAGGCAGTTTCCACGATCAGTCCATCATTACCCTAGGTTCTTTGGCAGGATATCACTACCTTCCCACTGGGCACAGACGTCAATTCCACGTCTATTCCACATTGGGTCAACATCAT